ATAGTTTTGTACCTTTGTTACGACTAGGTAGAGCCGCGTTGCAGCTATGCTAGCTATCCATAGCTGTATCACGGATGGTTTGGTTCGACTGGGGTAGGACCACGCTCTTACAGAATAACATCTTGAAACAGTAGAATAATGCTACTGTGTTTTGTATGGTCAGTGTAGGGAAAAATATACCCTTTTCCATGGTAACGAGGTATTCCATCTTAGCCCTTAGTGATGTATTTTGATTCTTAATCGATGATAGATGTAGATGTTTCTGGGTCATAGTATCAGGTGGACTATTTTAAAATATATTGGTGATAATTTTCACAACGGAACCCTGCGCATCATAATATAACCCAACACGCACTTGGCCGTTTTTTTCATTGTGTTAACAAGTTTTATAGGTATATAGCTCATATATATTTTATATTTATTTATTTATTTCCTTAAGACGCTGTCGGATGATTTTTATCTTTAAATTAGCAATTTAAGAATATAAACGGCTCAAGGTAAAATTCATAATTAATTAATTAATTAAAAGCTTTTATTTAACTTCACTTGTATGTATGTCCAGGAAATTTGCAATCAATATTTCACCCACTTCCACTGAAGCTATCGGGCAAAATTTATGGCACACACGTTTGGTTCTCATGAAAATGGACGATTACTTAAATGCCGCCATTTTTAATCCAATATGGCGGACGTCACCAAATGGCGATTTAACATTTCCATAGTAACCTCTATGATATAGGTATAAACTAAAAGAGCTTGATGAGGGAAATACAATAAGTAAAGTGACGTCATTCTTCATCCAATATGGCGAACGTCTCATATGACAATGCAATATTTTTTTTTTATAGGATCGGATGACAAACGAGCACACAGTCCACCTGATGGTAAGTGGTTACTGTGACCCATAGACATCTACATCTAACCTCAATAAAGACTCAAGATGCAGATGCGTTGTCACCCGTGAGGACTAAGATGGAATGCCTCTTTGCCAGTAAAAAGAGTCTCCGGTTCTCTATACTCACCATAAGAAAACCCGGTAGCGTTAAGCTGCTATTTTACGCTGGTTTTCTGTGAGAGCGTGGTCCTTCCCCGGTCGAGCCGACCCAATCATGCTACAACCATAATATAGCTGCAGCTCGGCTCTACCACGTAGAAATTATGACATATACAGGACCTAATGGTGGAGCTGGAATGGGGCCATGGCTAAAAAAGGCGGAAAACAATATGGCCGCCATACCAATTTTAAAGAGTTATAGCTCGGCAAAGGTTAGGGATAGTTTGGTGGTGGTCGAACAAATGTAGGGAATAAAAATGGTCAATTACTGTCAGTAAAAAAAAATATGATCTAAGTTGGCGATCAAGAACTTAGTTGCTTCTATCCGTCTGTAATTTTGTTATCCTGGGAATTTGGAGTCCCCGATTACGATTTTGGGGTCAATTTGTTTGGGCCAAATTTTGCAACTGAATTTTAAAAGTACGCCTAGCTAAGTGACGTCTTTCTAAATCCAATATGGCGGACCAACCATGATGGCGGACTAAGATTTTTATTCACCCCCATGATATGGATATCAAATTTGCATATGGATTCAAATGATGATAACAAAATGAACCCTTTGTTTTTTGAAAAGAATACGAACAAAATGAAGTCCGCGTTCAACTTTTCGAGGAGATGGTGTACTTCTGCCTGGCTAAACGGCTAAAACTACGCGGGGATGTGTCTTAATTAATATCGACCTACACCCTGGGCAAATTCTAGCAGTGGTGAAAAAAATCAAAATGGTGGTTTTATCTTTCTAAAAGGCCGGCAAACCTTTCTAAAAGGCCGGTTACGCATCTGCAATTCCCTTGGTGGTGCGGTTGTTCATGGGCGGCGGTAGTCACTTACCATCAGGTGAGCCACATGCTCGTTTGCCCCCTCTTCTATAAAAAAAACAAGATGGCCGCCATAACAATTTTAAAGAGTTCTAAATCGCCAACGATTACGGATAGTTTAGTGCAGCGTACTCTGAAATTTAGAGCGAGCGCTTAGCCCCTAAGCTAGCACGGCTGTTCAAATAAAGAGAAAGATTTTTGGGTACATATACTGAACGTTAGAAATAATTAAAAATAATTAGTGTAAGCGTGTTCCTAATAAAAACTAGGAAACAAAACACTGCGGTTGTTAATCCGCTTACAAAACTTGGCAACTATATCAACTATGGCAAATATCCTCCTTATGGGGCAATCAATGGGGAGGCATATGTTCACTAGTAGACTTTGATAAACTTTAATGAATGAAAGAATAATACCAGTATACGTGAATTTAGTAACCGAGACGCAGGTCTTTGGCTGATGCTTTGTATTTCTCCTACCCGGGGTACAAACTGGAACACTCCTTTGTGCCTCTGGCTAAAGTTTGCGTATACATCAGAGAGGACATCTGTCCTCAACACCTTGGCAGTCTTGATGGCTTGGACCTGTCCATATTTCGGCTACGCGTAGACAGCAACGACCATCCGCGCGTCTACGGGTGCCTCTATAGGTCCCATGGTGGTAATGACGAAACAGACCGACTCATGGACCACGTCTAAATGGCTACAGATTCCTTGCTACAACAGGTCCCATCCGCAGAGATCGACATCCTAGGCGACTTTAACGTCCACCACACCGAGTGGCTCGCTTCATGTTTAATCGATCATGCGAAGAGATCTGTTCATGATTTCGCCTTGGCATATGGTCTGATACAACTGGTTATTTCGCCTACGCGGATTCCAGATGTGGAGGATCATGCACCTTCCCTGTTGGACTTTCTGATGACCTCTCATCTGGACAGATACCAGGTCTCCGTCGACACCCTTCTTGCTCCTCGGATCATTGTGTAGCCCAGAGTGTGGTGTTACTCACGCTGAAATCGAAGTTGTTTCTGCAGGCTGCAGCCGTGTTTAGCACTGTAGGTCGGCCGATTGGGATGGGATACGGTATTTCTTTATATCCTACCCTTGGAGGCGGGTTTGCTTTTCGCCGGACTATCTCAACGTTGTTGATAATTCTGTTTCTGATATGCTACTTCAGGGTATGGAACTTTTTTCCTTCCTCTGTGGTACCCATAGGAGGCAGATCTCAGCCATTGCTTAGTCGCTCCTGTATGTCCACAAGCAGGAGTGCTACCGGGCCTGGGCTGACGCATCATAGTCCAGGGATGTAAACATATGCGCCTTTAAAAAGAAGTTTTCCGCCTCCAGGTCCTTCAAAAGAGTCATTGCCAAGGTAAAGTCAGAGCAATAGGTAGAATTGGCGAGAAACTAGTTCGCCTGCCTTCGGGAACCCGTGAATTCTGGTCTCTCGCCAAGGCTATCCAAGGGACCTTCTGTCAGCCATCTCTTCCATCTCTGCACAGAAAGGACGACTTACTGGCCCATGCCACAAAGGAGAAAGCCGTTCTGCCAGGCTCTTTCTTTGCGTCCAACTCGACTTTCGATGACGGAGGGAACACACTGCATGTGAGTGCTCCATGCTAGATGTGCGGTTCACACAGCGCTCGGTTCGCAAAGCACTCCTCTACCTGGACATCCACAAGTTGAGTAGGCCTGATGGAATTCCTCCAATTATGCTACGGACGTGTACTCTGGAGATAGTACCAGTTCTAACGGGTCTTTCCGGTACTCCTACTTCTAGTCCTAGTCTAGTCCCAAAATCAATGAAGATGGCTTTTATTCACCCGATCCCTAAAAAAAGCGATCGTTTAGACCCGTCTAACTACAGGCCTATCGCTATCACTTCCTTGTTCTCCAAAATAATGGAATCCATTATAAACTGCCAGCTCTTGCGGTACCTCGAGGATCACCAGCTGATTAGTAACCGCCAATACGGTTTACGTCGGGGTCGATCAGCAGGTGGTCTTATGGTCTACCTGACTCATAGGTGGTCGGAGGCAGTAGAGTCCAAGGGGGAGGCACTGGCCGTTAGTTTGGACATAGCGAAGATCTTCGATCGGGTTTGGCACAAAGCTCCCTTCCTATGGGCTTACCGAGAAATTGTGCAATTGGATCACCAGTTTTCTGGCTGATCGGAGCATCAAGGTCGTAGTAGACGGTGCATGCTCTGATTACAAGCCTACTAACGCTGGTGTTCAACAAGGTTGCGTGCTATCACCAATGCTGTTTCTTCTGTTTACCAATGATATGTTGCAATCCAGTAACATTCATTGTTATGCGGATGACAGCACTGGTGATGCTTTATAAACCGACCGCGCAAAACGTTGCCGAGTATCACAACAAACTTGTATCTGAAGTCAAGTCATTGCTGAACAAAGTCTCGGATTAGGGCGGCTAAATCTAGTCCAGTTTAATCCTCAGAAGGCACAAGTTTGCGCGTTTACTGCTAAAAAGACCCAAGGATTCAAGATTTCAAGGCACTCCCGTTGTTGCTTCAGTCAGTATCGGAATTCTCGGTGTCAACATATCGAGTGACGTGCAGTTTCGTGGTCACTTGGAAGAGAAGGCCAAATTGGCCTCTAAAAAGCTTGGTGCGCTCAGCAGAGCGGGACAGTATTTCATGCCGGCACTCTGCCTGCAACTTCACAAGGCGCAGGTTCGGGCTCTACTTATGTTCCCATTTCTGGATTTGGGCTCCCCAGTGTCCGCTCCTTCCACTTGATAGCATTCAGCGCAGAGCTACCATCAGGTGAGCCGTATGCTTATTTGCTCCCTCTCCTAAAGAAAAACCAGGTAGAGAGATGATCTCTCACCAAGGTTTGCTTGGAAGAGACTGCTGTTTAGCGATAAAGCCACCCAATTGTGCATAAATGTATGTTTCTTATAATGTGTAATATTTTGTGTGCATTAAAGAATATATATAAAATATAGAGTAAAGATGTATTTATTATAGAATTCTGTTGCCGGTCCAATCTTGGACAGATTTTTGTCCAAGGGTCCAATGATACTTCAAAGTACAGATCCGTTAAGGTAAGTCAACCCTCTATATGGAGTAATAAACTATGACTTCCTTATTCCAGGTTCACAATGGCGGAAGTTGTAAAGCAGTTTCCTGTAGAGAAGGAGTACGAAAAGAACCCAGATATTACACCAGAGGACATACGGAAGTTGAGAGAGTGGCTGAAGGCACAGCCACATTTGCCCGGGGAGCACTTAGACGGTAAGAAGGAATAGCGCATTTGAGTACGTTGTATGACTCCTTTTCTGCCTTCGTCTCTGGATAGGTACCACTCTCTTACTTGCCTCCACCAAACAGTTGTGCGTGGCTATGCTTTGCTCCTTTCCAAAGGCTATAGAGAGCCAGTTTAATTAGTCAGTGAGGCATTCCATCTTAGTCCTCAACGGTGATAGCACGTCTGTAGTCTTCTTTGTTTGAAGTTGGCAGCAAGTGTCCATGGACTTCCCCCGAACGGGTTCCCGCCTTGTAGTGGCGGGGTAGCTTAGTAGCCGTGGCTTGATCACCCGCGGTGAACAAAGATGAACCTCGTTCGTAGTTCTCTCACTGCCCTAAGGTTGACTAGCAGAGAATGCTTTTAGCATTAAGTACGCCTTTTGTTCCTGTACTTAATATGTAAGGTGCAATAAAGTCTAAATAAATAAATAAAAACCCCTTGGCTGGCCCGTGATGTAGGGCCGGCCCGAGGTGGACATTCCGAGTGGGACTGTCGAAACCACTTCGGATGTATGCCGGTGGGCTGTGGCTGGGGCACTTCTGTCGGTCCATCCCCCTAACGCTGCAGCCGAGGTGGAGTCGCGGGGGAAGAGGGTTGTTGATATGGCGATGCGCCACTCGCTCTATCCTCAGCAACTCTGACGGGACCACACCGTTGATGTGGTGGTGGTAGGGCCGCGGGGGGAGGAGTGCAGGTATTGCGAGGCCACTCTCCCTACCCTCCGCGGCTGAAACTTGGTTGGCGGCGGAGCCAAAGACCAGATCCGCTGCTGGGGTCGGAAAACTGGGTGCTACCGAACGCTCAATTTTCCTGGCCCCATGGCCTTCGCGTATCGGACTCGGGGGGCGTTATGCAGCTAGAGTTGGAGGCCGTGGAGGAAGGCGTGCATTGTGTTCCTGATGCGCCTTGCCTGAGAAGGAGTATGGCGAGAAGTCCTCTCCCGAGGGAGGGCTGCCATGGGGCGGCCAGCACTGGTGGAACCGAGGATGTGTACGAAAGTGTTCCTGCCAATATGTGGCGAAGGTGGAATACCATGGAGTTTTAGTCGGTGTGAGTCCAAAGTAACCTGTCCTTGCCCCCGCGAGGCGGGTATGCGTAAGCATTTCCCCATGTAAAAGAAAGTTGTAGTATTTTACGGTGCTTACAAAAATTGTATAAATATTATTTCGTAGGATTTTCTTAAAATGCATCTATTATAAAATGTATATACCATATTTTAAAAAAAATGTAATAGAAAAACAAAAACTTAGATTATCATATAATCCTACTCTCCACTATATAGTGCCAACAACGCTGGCTGCGTATCCTGGCTGAATGGCTGTACAAGACTTTGAGCAAGAAAACAACAAGCCCTCTTATCACCAGCAGCGACGAAAAGTTCCTTTAGGAACTAAAAGTCTCTACAGCAAATGGCACAAATATATCTAGTCACCTCTTAGTTTAAATGTCCTATGTGGTTGATAATGCGTTAATGGGTATTATTATTTTATGTGACTGCCTTGACGAAAGCTAATCATCGGGAGGATTGCGTCGGGTCTTCATTTATTGAGTTCTTCTGTCAAGATATTATCTTGTAACTGCCCGTAGTCAAAACTTGGGCTGTGCTTTGGATAACACGTAAAGCCGTTGGTTCCGCGCCTGATCTCACTCTGGTCGTGACGGATGCCGTCCCATCGGACTATGAAAGTGGCAGAATATACAGTGCACTTGTGTTTGAGCACACACTGGTGCTTTTTAATGATATCCTGCGCAGATGTCTAGTCTCCGTTGAGTCTGGCCACCGTGACTGAAATTCGGGCTGAACGACTTTACTATGATCATTAATATTATTTCATGTCCATTTCGTTATTTTTTTTTACTGAATTTAATTTAATTTTTAGATCTGGATCTGGTGATTATATTTCACTGTTGCGATAACAGTGCCGAGGTTTCTAAACAGGTACTGGACCTGCACTTCACACTGAGGACCCTGATCACCGCTTTCTTTAAGGGACGGGAAGTCAATCAAAGGGTGGAGCAGTCCTTGTACACTGTGTAAGTTTTACTTTAACCACCTAACCAGTAATAAAGTTGGAAGCTCTTGTATCTGGAGGACATACTTTTTTAAACTCGTTTTTATTAGTTCGTTTTTTTTCTATCGGTTTGTTACAAACTTTGCAATTTAAATTAACTTCCTGATGTGATACACTTGAAACTTAAATCTTTGCTATAATCAAGCTCAGAACTGGATGACGTGATGAACTAAAAAGCAGACACAATATTTAATTTAAGTAGGTATTGTGCAGAGTAGTTGTTTAGTAAACATACGACAGTTTATTACAGTGTAATAAAATTATTAGTGACTTTTTTTGGTAATGGACTCCGTGATACTTTTCCCAGTATCAAGTTATAGTGCCCTTTATAATAGTTTGTTTGCTTTTGCGAGATTTGACGGCAGCTTGAACTAACAGACAGTCGATGACGATAGCATTTGTTTCTTCGTTTCCACTAATAGTTTACATGCGCTCCACTTTTTACAAGCTTTTATTTAATTTGCAACGTAACTATGTTTGTTCGGGTGGAATCTTGTTACTCAATTTTGAAGCAGATGTCTTCGACTTTGAGCTGAAATTTTGTAGACACGTTTAATTTGGATAACATTGCATGATTAGCTGTGTGCCGTCATTCTAAATCCAACATGGCGAAAGACCCAAGATGGCGGACTAGTTATTTTTAATGCAGAATAACTCGAATAATAAAGTGACGGCACTCTAAATCTAATATCGCGGATTTCTAAAGATGGCGGAATAAGTTTTTATTTTGTATAGGGGAGGGGGCAAACGAGCATGCGGCTCACCTGATGGTAAGTGACTACCGCCGCCCATGAACAGCTGTAACACCAGGGAGGGAATCGCAGATGCGTTGCCGGCCTTTTATAAAGGAGTACGCTCTTTTCTTGAAGGTCCCTAAGTCGTATCGGTCCGGAAAAATCGCTGATGGTGATCGATTCCACAAGGAAGTCGTGCGAGGAAGAAAACATCTTCTAAATCGCACAGTGGTGGACCGCCAATCATCCAGATGGTATGGATGGTATCGGGAGTTCTGCCACGATGTGCGTTCGTGAAATTTGGCGGCTGGGATTAATCCGAACAATTCCTCAGAGCACTTCCCGTGGTAGATGCGAAAGAAAATGCAAAGGGATGCAACATCTCTTCGCAGTGCCAATGAATTGAGCCGATCGGAAAGGACTCGGTCGTCGACGATTCGAGCCGCTCTGCGCTGGATGCGGTCAAGTGGAAGGAGCTGGCACTGGGGAGCCCCTGCCCAGAGATGGGAACAGTATTCCATGTGAGGCCGAACCTGCGCCTTGTAAAGTTGCAGGCGATGTGCCGGCATGAAATACTGTCCCGCTCTGCTGAGCACGCCAAGCTTTTTAGATGCCAATTTGGCCTTCTCTTCCAAGTGACCATGAAACTGCACGTCACTCGATATGTCGACTCCGAGGATTCCGATACTGGCTGAGGCAAGAAAGGGAGTGCCTTGAAACTGAGGATATACGACAAAGGGGTTCTTTCTTCTGAGGATTAAACTGGATTAGATTTAGTCGCCCCCAATCCGAGACTTTGTTCAGCATGGACTCGACTTCAGACACAAGATTGTACCGGTACTCGGCGACGTTTTCCCGAGAAATATTGGTCCAGCCGGTGTATAGAGCATCACCAGTGCTGTCATCCGCATAGCAATGAATGTTACTAGTTAGCAACATATCATTGATATGCAGAAGAAACACCGTTGGTGATAGCACACAGCCTTGTAGTAGTATAACACCAGCGTTAATAGGCTTGTAGTCGGAGCATGCACCGTCTACAACGACCTTGATGCTCCGATCTGCAAGGAAGCTGGTGATCCAATCGCACAATTTCTCGGGAAGCCCATAGGAAGGGAGCTTCGAAAGAAGCGCTTTGTGCCAAACCCGATCGAAGGCCTTCGCAATGTCCAAACTAACGGCCTACGCCTCCCCCTTGGACTCATACCCATAGATGGGCAGAGGCAGTAGCCTCTGCCCATCTATGGGTCAGGTAGACCAGAATATCACCAGCTGATCGACCCCGACGAAAACCGTATTGGCGGTCACTAATCAGCTGGTGATCCTCAAGGTACCGCATTGGCTAGCAGTTAATAATTGATTCCATTATTTTGGAGAACAAGGAGGTGATCGCGATAGGCCTATAGTTGGACGGGTCTGAGCGGTCGCCTTTTTTAGGGATCGGGTGGACAAAAGCTATATTCCATGATTTCGGGACTACGCCTTGGGAGTAGGAGTACCGGAAAAGACGCGTTAGGACCGGTGCCAACTCCGGAACACACGTCCTCAGCACAATTGGGGGGATTCCGTCAGGCCCACTCGACTTCTGGATGTCCAGAAGTCGAGTGGAGAGGAGTTCTTTGCGAACCGAGCGCTGTTAGAACAGCACATCCGGCATGGAGCACTCACACCGCGGGATGGTCGGCGGTGTTTTCCTCCCGTCATCAAGAATCGAGTTGGACGCAAAACGGGAGCCTAAAAGGTCAGCTTTGTCTTTTGCGTCTTGGGCCAGTGAGTCGTCCTCCCTGTGCAGAGATGGTAGTGATGGCTTACAGAAATTCCCTTGGACAGCCTTGGCGAGAGACCAGAATGCACGGGTTCCCGAAGGAAGGTGAACTAGTTTTTCGCCAATTCTGCTTATGTGCTCTGACTTTGCCTTGGCAATAACTCTTTTGAAGGACCTGGAGGCGAAGTTATACTTCTTTTTAAGTGTGCTAGTGTTTACATCCCGAGTCGCTGAAGCCGCATCCCAGGCTTGATACTACTCCTGCTTACTGCGTAATGCAGTCTTACAGGAGCGACCAAACCAAGGCTAAGATCTGCCTCCGATAGACCATAGATGATGGAATAAATAGTTCCATTCCCTGTATCACCACATCAGTGACAGAGTCAGCAACAGCGCTGGAATCATTCGGCGAGAAGCAAACCCGCCCCCATGGGTAGAATGCAAAGAAAGACCACATTCCGTGCCAATCCGCCAACCTGTAATGCCAAACACGGCGGCAACCTGCAGAACGCAACCGCGAGGAGAGCGTGAGTGGCACCACACTCTGGATCAGACAATGGTCCGAAGAGCCGAGATCATCGACGTAAACCTGATATCCGTCCGGATGAGAGGTCAGCAGAAGGTCCAACAGGGAAGCTGTATGATCCTTCACATCTAGAATCCGCGTAGGTGAAGTCACCAGTTGTGTCAGACCATATGCCAAAGCAAAGCCATAAACAGATCTCACCGCATGATCGGTTAAACGTGAACCGAGCCATTCGGCGTGGTGGGCGTTAAAATCGCCAAGGATCACGATCTCTGCGGATGGGACCTGTTGTAGCAAAGAATCTGTAGCCATTTGAACGTGGTCAATGAATCGGTCTGTTTCGGTATTACCGCTATGGGACCTATAGAGGCACCCGTAGACGCGCGGATGTTCGTCGCTGTCTACGCGTAGCCATAGGATGGACAGGTCCGAACCTTCAAGACTGCCGAGGCGTCGAGAACAGATGTCCTCTCTGACATACACGCAAACTCCAGCCCGAGGCACAAAGGAGTGCTCCAATTGGTACTCCGGGTATTAGCGATACGAAATATCAGCCGGAGAGGAAACCTGCCTCTCGGTCAGAAAGTTTTTTATGATTTTCCACAATATGGCTGAAAGGATTTGATGAGAATATTTAATACGAGTTAAAAAAATTGTGATCATAATCTACGTTGCTCCAATCCGTCTGAATAGAGCTAGACTATTCGAAATTAACCGGCAAATTACCTTGCAACAAAGATGCGTTGAATAAGATGAACAGACTGAGAAACCTGTCCAGCGATAACTACAAAGTAAAAAATTAATTAAAAGTAAAAAAAACTTTTTTAAAAGCAAGCTTTTATTTAAATGCGCTAAAAAGAATAAAATAAACTTTGCCTTAAAAACTTTTACTATAAACTTAGAACGTCATCACACAATGTATATGATATAAAAGCTTGTCGCGAGATTTACCTGTGTAAATAAACAAGCAACTTAAATAACTTGATCTCATTGATTTTAATTTTAAAAATTTCAAACTAAGTAAATACGAGTACCTACTTAAATCTTTGAGCTTAGATTGACATCTTCACTGATCTTTTCTTTTATTTCAAAAATCCCAAGTAATGTTTGTGAACTAGCATTGCTTGAATATAATTCAATTGATTATTTGATACGTGCCACCGGGGAAGGACTACGCCCTCACAGAATACCAATTTAAAATAGCAGCTTAATGTTGCTGTTTCGTATGGTGAGTGTAGAGAACCGAATACCCTTTTCACTGGAAACGAGGCATTCCATCTTAGTTCTTAGGGGTGACAACGCATCTGCATTTTGATTCTTAATTGAATATAGATGTAGATGTCTGTGGACCACAGCATCCACTAACCATCACATGGATTGTGTGCTCGTTTATCAGTCTTATTCTATAATAATCATAGAGAGCTTATTCAATGTTGGACTTGAAAAGGCTGTTGATGAATGATGATAGATAAATATATAATATATAAAATGCTACTTTTAAAATTTTATGAAAATAATCCTCGCGGTAAAATTCCGTAAATAATAATATATTTTCCTGCATAAATGTATGCATATTATATACGTTGTGCATTTAAAATGATAAAATCTTTAATGTTCTTTATACGCTATAGATTTTATCTTTCGTAGCGCAGTGCAAAGTAAATGTTACCAGTTCAATCTTGTATATTCCGGTCCAAAGAGCAAGAAGTTCGTAAACATATTTTTAAACGTGGTAGAGCCATGCTTCAGCTATATTAGTAGTATAGTTGTAACACAAATGGGTCGGCTCGATCGGGGAAGGACTGACAGAATACCATAGTAAAATGGCAGCTTGATACTGCTGTGTTTCGTATGGTGAGTGTAGAAAACCGGAGACCCTTTTTACTGGAAGAGAAGCATTCCATCTTAGTACTCACGGGTGACGACGCGTCTGCATT